CAGAGTGAGTTTAGCGATGTAGGTAAGAGACTGAAATATTCAGAGTGGAGAAGTGGTATCAATTCTACATGTGGAGAGAGGACAATGGTTGCCAGGCTGTACAACTGAATCTCTGAATTTAGGAAAATGAATTCTGCTTGCTTCACTTCCTAATTATCTCCAATTTTTCACTCTTTAGTTTTTTCCCCAGCTACATATGCATCACAGCCATTCTCCTTCTTTCCCTGTGTTTTGACTACATATTTCTCACTGCACTCTACATTTCATATCATTTCACACAGGACTTCGTTGATTCTCTGAAGTGTTTTGAAATATTTGTAATACAATGATAAATTATTTTGAGCTGGAGAGTTTGAAGCCATTTATTTGTTTTAAACACAAAATTCTAACCAGTTAGTTGAAATAATATGGAAATAGTGCCAGTAGCCCACAGAATTAAATCAGGCAGTCAGGACTACGGTAGATGTGGAGTCAAATAAAACATGATCATGATATACTTCTTAGAGGTACATGAGACTTATAGAAGAAAATGGAAAGCCTTTGTGACATGTGAAAAGAAGATTGGAGTGAGCTCAATTTAATCATTCCAAGTCTTAGGTGGTGTCATCTTATGGGCAAATGTAACAAAGGTGGAATGGGAATTTTGAGAATATGGTCAATTTCTGATTATCAGGAAAGCAGGAGTCTGTTCTTATATTTAGAATTACTGGGCAATACTACAGATCAGATACTATTCATAGTCAGAGATTGTGCTTGTTCAGGCCTAGATTAGTTCTATTGGAACACAGATGAATCAAACTTTGTAGGCATAGCTTTAAAATGTTGTATTTTCAGAATAAATGTTTAAGATGAAGACACCTCTGGGAGACTGTACTAGGCAAATTCAGCTAGGCATGTGTTGTGATTACATACACGCAATTCCAGTTTCCCAAGGAATAAATATAAACTATAACCCCAGATTAGGTTAGATCCACCTATAGGTGGGTGACCTTCCAGGGAAGCTGAGTCAGAGCTGGCAGGGATGCCCCTCATTTCCACTCATTGCATTGATCAATCTATCTCTGTCATCCTTGCTTTGTTTGAGACCCTGGGAAAAGTGGGCAAGCAATTGGCCAGTCAGATGCATTGAGTATTTTAACCTGAAACAGTCTATGCAGTTTTTAGAATCAAAGTTCCTATGTTCTTTTACAGCCCATGCTCTCCTTTTATTCAGCCTGTCTAGAGTAGAAAGTGGATTGTGAATTGTAGAAATTGGTACAACAACATTGCATTTCAGTTCATGTTCGCGCATTTCACATTGGCACAATTGAAATATAATAGTGTGCCACTTACTGTAGGTGTTCGACTTTGTTTAGCTATACCAAGAAAAGACTTGCATGCTATCAGAATGTAATATATGCCTCTTTTTCTTATGGTATGAATGGGTAGCAGCCAGCCCAAGATCGATGAAATATTATAATGACCACATGGGATACTTGTTTGTCTCCATTTACTCTCTTTCATAGTTCTACACCATCAATGTGCTCATGCTTACTCAAGTTGGCTTCTCCAGTTCCAGGCATTAAATCACATTCCAGACAGCAACTCAGAGGAAATGGGAATTTGATGGAATATGTGGAATTTGATTGCAAAACATTTTAAATTCAGAAAAGACCATTATCCCCAGGCATTTCTCTAAATATCTCTTTGACTAGAACTATTGTATGTCCATCCTATGCAGAAACATCTCTCTGAAGCACC